AAAAACAATGATACATAGCTGTGGGTCTCCAGATGCTTTTTAAGGCGTAAATCTTCTGTTGAAGGTGTACTCCAGCTCAACTCCTGCCACGTGTTTCTCAGCACAATAACTGACCCGATGCAATTGCATTTTCCACTTCACACACAACTAAGGTTAACAAAAAGCCCTTTTATAACTACATAGACACAGTTCTTGTGACTGAAAAAACTTATAATGCATAAAATCTATGGTGTTGGTTATGATGCAAGTGCTCTAACTAAGCAAACACAGAGCTCCCAACCTAACAGGCTTTTTAAGCTCCCTTCTTCAAAGTGTCTCTGTAATGAAAAGAAGCAAAAAGGAGCAATTCTCTACATTACAAAATATTTTGAAAAGTAAAGCTCCCCCTCCTTTCTCAAAAATATATTAGCAATGAAAAGAAGCAAAAATAATTCTCTAAATTACAAAATATTTTGAAAAGTAAAGCTCCCCCTCCTTTCTCAAAAATATATTAGTCTCTTACACAGCAGTCTCAAGACAAATAAGACAATTTACTGATTAAAATTCTCATATATATGGATGACATTCACTGTCATCTCAGTTATGAAATGCATATATTTAGATATGGATGACATTCATTGTCATCTCAGTTATGAAATGCATATATTTATACAGTATAGGTAACGCTCTTCTACAACCACAGAATTCTTGGCAGTGAGATTTTTTTTATTGCCTTTAAGTAAGCTTAGTCCCATACCATGCTCCTAAGGTTAATGCTTTTTCTCATTTCATTCTGAAGTTGAGATACACTACTGAAATAGATTTCTACCTCTCCTAATCCTAGAACAGAATGATGATCAATCTGTAAATTAATTTGTATTTGGTATACTCAGAACTGTTCAGTTAAATAAGCTGCAACTAGGACAGCACTTCACAGGGTTTCACTCAACTGTAATTACAGTTGGAAAAAGGTTTCATTTTACAGCTAACACAGGTTTGTGGAACTTAGGTTAGCCAGAAAACATACAGTAATTCCACATCCTAAGGGCATTCTGGATTTCTCCTTTCCTGTGTTGCACAAACAAATGACAATGAGGATTTGGTGGAATTTTAAGGTTTCGTTGATTGTTACTGTTTTATCCCTTTCTGTAGTGTTACGATATAATGATGTAAAATACTTAATTATGTCATATAGCTAGAGAAAAGATTCGTAAGATATTTAAAGTCGATATGAAGTGTAACTAGACACTTTCCAAACTCTGGAGTCAGCCACCCCTCTACAGTGCCAATCCCCAGCGGGAGAGGCAGCGTGTTCTCCCAGCTCTAACCCACCAGCATCCTACATGAGGAACATGGAGAGCCTTCAGAAAAGCCTCCTGTTTCAGTACCTGAGAACATCCTAAACAAGTATTTATCATACAAAACTTAAAAAACAAACTGATTTTGAATTTCACACTTAGTGGTACCTCCATTTCAGTTTGTATTTGGTATGTGTGGTGGGTGAAAAACAAAATGTCATTTCATGAATGCCTTAAATTTGATGCAAAATTGGCTGAAATACGGCAGCAAAATTTTCTCTTAGGTTTGACAACCGGCTGTGTAACATATTTGTCTCATAGAGATTCTGCAAGGTCATTTTCAAAGCTCTATGCATATTCAAACTCCAAGCTGAAAAATTCCTAACCCCCACAAAAATATTTCTTGCATCCTAGATGAGTAACGGGAAAATAAAGTATTGTGGCGGAGAAGCGGTTTTCTCTCGGGGTGGGGAAAGAGGAATTAAAACCCTACTACAAACACATCAAAAAACACAAGGAAATATTTCCTTCCACAAGGGAAACATTTCAAACATCTTGCTAGCAAGACCCTGCATTATACTCTCAGAACACATTGAGAGATGTGAAGGCATCCAGATACAACACCGTTAGTTTCAACTGCAATAAAAATTCAGTTCCTTTTTGTATAGTAAGGGGGGAACCCATATCAAGGGCTTCAGACGTTAAACTGATTTTAGACACAAATTACTGTACAACAGAAAATGTAGCTGTTTCATTTTTTCAGCAAAACCATTTTGGATCAAATTCCAATGTGACTCGATTTGTAACGTAGAAAACTCTCCCTGAGGAAGGAGAATGGGCACCCTCTTCTCAGGCTGATCCGTAACACCCCTAGTCCAACAGATGATTTCACAGAGCCCCTACACACCAGGCAGTCTGACCACACAACCTGCCATGACTGCATTCAAACTCCATTTTCAAAAGTGTGTCATTTCAGATGTAAAGCCATCCAAATTACCCTAGAAATAAATGTCTATATAACCCTACTTATTTTTGCACATCTGAATTTTAGGACCCTACCCACAGCACCGAGGAAGAAAAGCAATAAAATAATAGTTTTACTTGCCCCACAGTTCATCTACTACAAAGTATTTAAATGAACTAGTTTCAAGATGTTTCAACATGCTCAAAATTGAAATAAAGCAAAAAGCTCTATTTAAAATATTTCAAACCTGCAGACAGTTCAGAACTTTCACAGTTCACCTAAGGGGCACAGTTAATTAAAATATCCAACCCTTTGAAGCATGAATAAATTTGATTTATTAAGTAGGAATATACCAGTTAGGGCTGAAACAGCCATTTAATCCTGAAAATGCTTTGTTTTGCTGTGAAAACATGTCACTGATCTAACGGGTTTCTCACACTTAAACACCCACAGAGATGCTGCTGGACAATAACAAGGCTATTCTCCGTCCCAGGACACGACTGCGGCACCACCAACCAGAACCGATAACGCTGATCCAACAGCACTCCCACCCTTGGTCTCCTCAAAGACAGATTCAAGTATTGTTCCACTTAATGGTAAATGAATACTGTTATAGATTCCTATAAGCACAGTTATTTAAAATTCACAGAATTCAAATCCAGCAGAATCATATCGAGGAAAATTTCCTGACATTAGAGTGCTATGCTCAGAATTTAAATTAACTATTTTAAATCTATTGCTCTGCTGTTTAACAATTGTTCACTTCTGAAAGCCAAAATATATCATGTTTATAAAACGATTAATAAAACCAACTTCCAGTTAGTAAATATGTTCATTAAATGAAAGTAGGTTCATCCAATTTAGATCAACACAATGGAAAAGCAGTCTCATTTAAAGAGATTGCTTTGACAGTGGATTTTCCTCTGCAAATTTGCTGATATATTTGAAGATATTCTGCCAGTACTTTCTTAAAGCTTCATTGTATTCAGCACTCAAGAAAACTTTACTATTCACCAAGAAGTATAAAATTGTCGCTTCCAAAATCTGTTCAATGCTGTCAAACTACCAGCACCTACATTTAAAGCACTTAAGAACTGTGAGAGATGATTCATATTCTCCTAATCACCCAGTATGCAAGTCAGCCTTCCTATACCTTTTCTTACTTAGCAGATTTTGTGTATCCCAACACAAGCTTCTTCATTTGGAAATGAAAAGTTTTTTCATTCATAGACAGCAGTTTTATTTCCAGTTAAGATCACTTAAGAGCTTCTGACATGCACTCGATACATGAGGAAGTTTGAATTTCAGAGGTTTACTACTCTCTCTGCACTTCCTGAATTTGTAAGGCAGCCTTGGAGATAATTACAGCCTTATGATAACGCAACAAAACTGTTATTTTAAGTACCACTTTAAGAAATTGTCACCCAATTGCCATGATACTGTAGCACGCAATGCAGTTAGCATGCTGGATGTTTCAAATGGCTGTTAATTTAATCACTCTCTTTTTCTGTCACTTCCTCCTTCAAGCCAGCCTAAGCAATGTTCCCAGGAACAGCTAATGGCACATCCTCTACGTATTTTACGAGGACTCAAAAACTTTACTTAACCAAGTAAACTTCTGCAAGTATGTGATTTAAGCTTGAGTTATGTGCTACAACTAATTTAAATACCTGCAAATGCCCAATGGTATTCTTCAAAAACCATTTTCTAACATTTTGTAAAACCAAATACATAATTTTCCACTTGTTTATCATTCTTTATATTCTGTGTTAGATAAGAAAAAGCCTTTTCTCCAGGTAGAAGCGGCCGTTCATTTTTTAAAATGTCCCAAACTGCTAAGCAAGCTCATCACAGAAAGTCTAGATTTCTACAGGAATTCTCAGTCCAAATGCTGCAAAGAAGAAATGCAATCTTAATTACTGTTTTCAGTCTATTAAGACACAAATCAAAAACACTAAGAAAACCAAAAACTCTCTTCAGAATGATAAGAAAATAATCATTTCAGAACTTCCAGACTGAATGCTGTGAAATGTGGAATCCAGAGAACTGAGGAAAAGGTCAGACACTATGCAAAGAAGAAACAAAACAATAGCAAACTCCAAGGAAACAGAAAAAATTAACATACGCGCATGAAACTGAAAGAAGCATAGAATATCTGTAATATAGAGTAGTCTCTGGTCTGGATATTCGGATACAGCTGTATATTTATGGCTGTAAATATGAAACAAAATTCTGGTCCATGTACAAACATTTCCTGGGGTCTAAAAGCTTTGAAACATTATGCGACTGTTAGGGGAAAAAACACCAGTAAAACACAGCATTTGCCATCAAAAAAGCAATTCCACTTGTTAAAAAAGAAATGCAGATTAATTCTTTACCTGCAAAACGCAGAGGCGCATCTTTGTCCAGAGCTATTAAAGGGGGGTCCAGGAGCACAGTGTTGTCATTTTCTGTGATTATACCGTGGTAGGTGGTTTCAATCCATGGCTTATGCTTGTTCACTGAAAGGAAAACAAAGTACCATCAAAATCTTTGAAACTGACAACTTATTTAAATAATTCTTTAAAATACTGATTTAAATATTTTTCTCTTTCAGTTTTCTAAATCTCAATAAGCATTTTATTACATTAAAAAAATTGACACAAAATCCTGGCTAAGTATGTTCAGAAGAGTTCAGCGTCCGTGTAGGCTTTCCAAAAGTTACTTGGAGAATCTAAATTAGTCTCTTAACAATGCTTCCCTGTAGGCTTTCCAAAAGTTACTCGGAGAATCTAAATTAGTCTCTTAACAATGCTGGGGTTTAAGATACCCCTGAAGTGCAATACAAAAACCTTCTAACAGTGACAAGAAGCCACTGCCATCAGGGCCAGGTGTGACCAGAAAAACCTTTATTCAGCACCAGACAAAAAAAAGACTGGCCAACATGAAACACAAGGGTTTGTTCACACTTCTCTCCAACTTGGAAAAGGGGACCCAGCTGGTGGACTATTCTTCAGGATGAGAAGGCTTTTCCTAGTTTCAGCATTTTGTCTTATATGGGGTTTTTTATTATCATTAAGAGAACCAGTGGAAAAGATATCGAGGCTTTTTCTAGTTTCAGCATTTTGTCTTATATGGGTTTTTATACTATCATTAAGAGAACCAGTGGAAAAGATATCAAACTTGCTGAGGAAACAAATTTAGGTCACAAGTCATTTCTGTCCCATTATAAGATCTAAACCTAGAACCTTTGGTATGTTTTACCAGTCATTTACATGGCATCCCAGGCAAAGGAGGACTCCAGGAGTTCTGCTGAACCTGGGGAACTATGTAAAATGCAAGAGGAGAGGAGAAGCAATGGAAAAAAATCGAAAAGGGGAAGACACGAGTTTCACAGCCCCACATCTCAGCTGCAGAGACACACCACCAGCTCCCAGCACGAGGTTCCGGGCCCTGCTGGGTTGGAGGACTTGTATGTTGTAGCTTTCAATCCAAAATATGCCTAATGCAGTTTTCTAACACTACTGGAAGAAGGGACCAAAATCTCAGGCCTGTTCTGTCATCTAATAGAATGTCTTGAAATATAAGTAAATACTGACTATTTATACCACTTATTTAGTAGTTGCTTTAAGACACTGGGAAACTCCACTATCAAACTTGCTGAGGAAACAAATTTAGGTCACAGTCATTTCTGTCCCATTATAAGATCTAAACCTAGAACCTTTGGTATGTTTTACCAGTCATTTACATGGCATCCCAGGCAAAGGAGGACTCCAGGAGTTCTACTGAACCTGGGGAACTATGTAAAATGCAAGAAAGGGAGAGAGAGGAGAAACAATCGAAAAAAATCTAAAAGGGGAAGACACGAGTTTCACAGCCCCACATCTCAGCTGCAGAGACACACCACCAGCTCCCAGCACGAGGTTCCAGGCCCCGCTGGGTTGGAGGACTCGTACATTGTAGCTTTCAATCCAAAATATGCCTAATGCAGTTTTCTAACACTACTGGAAGAAGGGACCAAAATCTCAGGCCTGTTCTGTCATCTAATAGAATATCTTGAAATATAAGTAAATACTGACTACTTTATATACCACTTATTTAGTAGTTGCTTTAAGACACTGGGAAACTCCACTAAAAGATGACCCATAAAAGCATTCTTCAACCCTGCATAGAAGAACCCGCAAACCAATCACTTGAACATGTTTAAGGTGACTGGTCTTCTTCCTCTGCTGCCAAGAAACACAGTGTCTTCCCTTGTCAGCTTGCAAAAATCACAAAAGATGCAAGCCAAAATCTTGTGTTACCTACTAGGTTATCATCTGCTACGTGACAATCCAGTGTGAGTGAGCCTTGATGATTAAATATTCATCTTTATGTTATGCTCTCCAAAGATGAACACAGCCAGTCCACAAAACCAGTGTATGTGGTGTAACAACTAATTCTTCTTGACAGTTGAATATATACGGCTTCTCTTGGTCTAGCTCTCTTCATCCTGAGGTTCTACATGCATCAGTTTCACCTACGTTGTTTTGGGCAATATATATCTGCTCCCTCAAAAAACCTCTTAGGCCAGCACATACTCTTGTTTCTTAAATTAATACTATTTTCCCAGATCTAATTCTGGAAGGTTGTACGTATCTAGTTGCTAAGAACCTATGGAAAACATTCATCTAGAGGGCCTGAAAACTGCGCCTTACTATACAAAATGAAGTCATCAGCAGCAAATGATGTATATTCACATATAAGAAATGCTTTGGTAGAGATTATAACAAACATACCAAACAGCATTCAATAGATGATGTCACCCAGATTTTAGTCTTCATGAGAAGGGTTAGGGTTGTAAGTTCATGAGTATGTACTACTCCTGAAATAAAAGCCCGTGCAATCACAGCACAGTACAGACTACAGCTAGAACTCTATTAAAGAGATGGCTGAGTCCTGCTATTTCACCTTTCTAAAGAGCTATACAAGCGGATTGGCAGGAGAGCCAGAGATGTAAGGCTAACCCAGACTTAGAATCCTGCCTCTCCAACAAACTCAAATGGATTCATGATGTCTGTCATATGCTTACCCAGGGGAATTTTAAAAAGTGATAAAAGGACACTTAACAAATGATTAATCCTAGAGGTAGAGAACTCATAGAGGAAACTATTAATACTCTCCCAATGCTTTCATCTGCAATCTTTTACTGGTTAGTAGCAAAGAACTGATAGGACATAGTATCTTCATGCATAATAACACATCAAAAGAGAACTCGCAACAAACTATTTTAATGCAAACTGTTTAATTGCTACCATGTGGTTTTACTCAATATGGCAAGACTGTATCTTTATTGCCTCAACACACTCACAGGGGCAGGCTTTCAACATTGAGCATACCGAGCAGCCAGCCCCATGGCAGCCCCACTGCACCACTACCCAGAGAAGCCCAGGGCTGCAGCACCCTCCAAGGAACACAATGTCTCAGAACAAACCTCATCGTGCTCAGAGGGACCCACACATCATTCCTCCCTCGGAGGGAAGGCACCAATAACTGCTGAAGTGCCAGTCTCCAATTGAAACACGTCTCTCAATTCAAATCTGGTCTAAAGCAAAGCGTTTCACTCATACAGTCACCCCTCAACTGAACACATCAAAGTCCTTTCGTGTCTTCATCTTAGTCTTTGCAAGGATCTAGAATAAAATACTAGAACAGATCTCCTCCAGAAAACACTCCCTCTCCATGCTAATCCTTTTGAAGGTAGGTTACAATTTATTTATTTTTTATGCTCCCAATTTAGCAACCCACAGTAAATCCCACTACTGTAGAGCAGGGAGATCTATAAAAGCTTTAAGTACAGTAACCACATCTGAACAGAATTATGAGTATGCTAAGCATCTGCAGAGTCTAGAGAACCTTCAAACAACAGGCCCAGTTAAAAGCAAAGTCATCTTCTTTTATTGTGCTCTAGACAACAAAAATCATAAAGCTTAAACCCCTTTGTGTTTAGGAAGGCTAAAACAGCACCAGATTTTAAAACATAAAGCTTAAATCCCTTTGTGTTTATGAAGGCTAAACATCACCGGATTTTAAAACCCCAAACTTAGTGCTGAATATCCAGGAAAGGCCCGTTATCCACATTTGTGATCTACTGACTCCAGCACAACCCCATGCTGTAAGGAATTCCAAAGCCAGCGTTTGAAATATGAGGCAGAGCTTATGAGCGATACACGACTGCTTCCCTTCCACCAACTGCCATATAATTCTGATCTCAGTTGGCTTAAATACTATCAAATGCTGGACTGAAAACTGCTTTCACTTTTTTTCCTCTTTAATTGTCACAAAACTCCTGAAATCTACAGAGAAAGCTGTTGAGTCGAACCATGTACAATTCTGATCTCAGTTGGCTTAACTACTACTAAATGTTGGACTGAAAACTACCCTTTCGCTTTTTTTCCTCTTTAATTGTCATAAAACTCCTGAAATCTACAGAGAAAGCTGTTCAAAGCCAGCCTGTTAATTTCAAATCAAAACAGTGGGCCTACTCCAAGCTTGACACTAACAAAATGCCCTGAGCTGTTAATCTCTTGCCATTTAACTGGGATAAACTACACTGGTTTCCTTGAAATACAATATTCACACTATTTGTAAGTGCCTCAACTGGAATCTGCTGTAAATCCCAACTAGCATTTAATCTAGTCAAGTGGGGGACGCCACCCCGGCACAGCACAGCAAGCTGACTTCTACTTAGTTTTTAATGGCCACAAGAATTTAAAAGCCAGCTAAGGCTGTCTGTCCTTCCAGGGAGCACCCCGAGCTGCAGAGCTCACACTAGAGCCTTTGCTGCTGCCAAGCAATGACTGAACAGGCAGGGGCAAGGTGAGCACACACCACCTGTCTAGTTGGTTTATCTAACGATAATTGCCGCTAAGCTGGAGGAGGAAAGGGAACTGGTGCCTGATGTGATGTGTGCCTTGAACATCGGGTTTTTAAAACGCCATTTGCTCTACGTAAGCGTGCTCAGTTTCTCAGGAAACTGAACAGACCAGCTCTTACTAATACTGCCTGGAAGTACTACTGCCTGTTCTGCAGAAAAGGCATGTCCCTTCAAGAGAGGATGCTTCACCAAGAGCAACGGCTGACGCTGCAGAACGCAATCCATCAGATCAACCAGCAGCAATATTTCCCTGCTGTTTAACAGAATTAACAAATCTAAATGAGTATGTAGGCAGGGCAATGGGGTTTAGGGCTAGTATGGATACTTCAATTAAAAGCTATAATCTTAAAACAATCTGAATTAATTAAATTCTAGTATTTGAAGGTGAACATATCAGAATTAAATGTATTTACTGAAGTCCTTCCTAAAGACTTCAGTTGTCTTCTCACAAACGGTCAGAAGTTAGTTTCGTTTAAATGGCATCTGGCACCTACAGAACTGAAGAGTTAAGACACACCTCAACCAGAAAGGGCTATAGCTGAAAATATTTTTCCTTCTGGGTAACTGTGTCTAGTATATAGTGTTGTTCAGATAGCCTACCTATCT